TAAAATAATAAAGAGTTCTAATTAAGGAAGACATTTTTATTTTTCTAAAGATTTTCTGAGAGCAGAACTTGTGAGCACTTTGCCATTGCTGTCTTTCAGGAGATTTTTTTTTTCCTGTTTAATTACTCAATTTATTTCCTTTACTGAGATTTATTTGGTTTCCTCCCCTTCCTCCAATTGGAAAACAGTTTCCAAACTGTAGATATCAAGATCATCTCTTTCTTCCTCCTGACAATCAGGCACTTCCTCAGGTTCCCCTCATTGAAAAAGGCAGCCTTGTGGGGCTGAACGGACTTGCAGGGCTGCTCTGATGAATGGCAGGTTTTTGCCAAGCTCCAGATTCACTTCCTCTCACTGTGTCTCTCGCACAGTAATAGACTGCCGTGTCTTCAGCTTTGAGGCTGTTCATTTGCAGATACATCTGGCTTTTGGCATCGTCCCTGGAGATGGTGAAGCGGCCCTTCACTGTGTCTGAGTAGTAAATGGGACTTGAGCCTGTATCTATATAGGCCACCCATTCCAGTCCTTTCCCTGGAGCCTGTCTCACCCAGCTCATAGCAGAGCTTCTGAAGGTGAATCACGAGGCTTTGCAGGAGAGACGGAGGGACCCTCCAGGGCTTCTCACATCCCCTCCAGACTCCACCAACAGGACCTCAGATCTGACACCTAAAAAGAAAGGAGTTTCAGTGAGCTCTCCTGTACACAAGAACTAAAATGGAAAAAGTTGAATACAGAGGGCAGAAATACCTCTGAGGACTGCTAGTAAGGAGACCAAGTTTAGCCACAGGATCATTTTTGCTCTCTCAAATGAATGGAGCGTAATTGATAGGAAAGGATTCTGGTTGATGCACAAACTTTGTGTTGGTGGGTGTTGCCTGAAAAGGGAAACCATGACCTTTAAAGAGGAAATTGTGCCTCAATTTACATATTGCTTGGGATAAAAGAGCCCCTCTGGGCACTCGCTTATAGATTTCTTTGGGTAGAGTTTACCCCTGTGATTTTCAAATAATACTCAGATATAAATCTATGTTCTGGTTCCTGGTTGTGCATTCACTAATATAATTTGTTTTCAGAGATGGTGAAACATCCCTTCCATTTACCCATGTATTAAATAATATAGGTACCCTGATTTATGCCATTTATTGCAGTGTTTTGTCAGCCATTTCATATAAAAGATGGGGAAGCTAATTAAGAGGCAATCTAGGCCTCCTCATAGGCCCTTCAGACTCCACCAAGGGGACCTCAGACGAGACCCCTGGAAAGAAAGGGGCTTGAGTAAAATCTCCTGTATACAAGAAGAGTAAATGGAAGGAAACTCTATTGCTTTCTATAAAAGGGCCTCTCAGTGCATTGGTTTCATAGCTTTCCTTGCATACACATTATAAGCATGATTTTCACCTAATGTTCCAGTCTTATGAAAACTGAAAAGAGCTTTCCCTTCCTTTTCCTTTGCTTCCCTTCCCTTTCGTTTCCTTTCCCTTTCCCTTTCCCCTCCCCTCCCCTCTCCTCCCCTCCCCTCCCCTCCTCTCCTCTCCTCTCCTCTCCTCAAGGTTGACGCAGCCTTCCATCCTTCTGAGGCCAGTAAAATAAGGGCCCAGATTCTTGAGGGCAATATGCTGACTCTGTAAACCGCTTAGAGAGGGCTGTAAAGCACTATGAAGTGGTATATAAGTTTAAGTGCTGTTGCTATTGCTGTACATACATGTCCCAATGTCATAGTTGTCTCAAAATCTCAAATACTTTTCTTTGAGGTGTCATATAAAGATGATTTTTTTAATGATGTTGAGGGAATTTAGCCCAAAAAAGAAAATATTAAAAGGGCAGAAAAATATATATTTTCCTCAAAAGGATTTTTAAAACCAAAAACCAACCCTGGCCTCATCTCTTTGCCCCAAGCAGTAGCCAGCACCATACAAATGCAGATGTAAAACCATCAGAAAGCTGGAGCCAGAGAACTCAAGAAGACAAAGAGAAAATCTGCATACCCCACCCAAATTCTTAAGAGTCATTAGCCCCAACACCTGGGAAGCAGGATATGATAATAGGATTAAACCACAGATATCAAGGCCTAGAAAAACACTCAGAAATAACCTCAAAGTCCATGCCAGAAACAGGAAACTATTCCAAACAAAAGGCTAGAGAGGTATAAAAACCTTCTACCCATGTGCTCAGCCCCCTTCTTCCCTCTGCTCTTTCTTGCAAGAACCGTCTTTCTGCCTCTTCAATAAACTGTAACCTTCTTCCCAAAGCAGTCACCATGTTGCTTATTAATCCCCGGCTTGGATGAACCAGGATGAAGACTTTTCTTTCTGACAATTTGAAAGGTCCAGAACAGTCAAGTCTAAACCTTTTCTTTTTAAAGTTGCATGTACAAATACAACAAGCTTTCTTTAGGTAAAGGAAAATGTTTGGGGTTGAGTCTCAGGAAAGTAGTCTTAAGCAGCAGACACAGGATGGACTAAGATATTTTTTAACAGAGATGTTAGAGACAGAGCTTAAAAATATAGTAGATTTCAGTTCAGGAACCTTTGTTTCTTTAACAAGGTTTTCTTTTGAAGAAGCTGATATTAACTGCATACACACTAGGGTGTAAAACACAATTTGTAAGGCACAGAATTCAGCTTCCCACCAAGTTGCAAGGAAATAATCAAAGCAATCATATCATAATGTCATATTTTACACTCAGTCCAAGAATTAATATGACATTTTCTGCTTGGCAAAGATTTCAGACTTCTAGAGTTAGCAAGGCACATTCTGGTCTGAACTCAGACATGGCTTTACGGAGCAAATTGTGGTCTCTTGAGAAGTGACATTCCCTTAAGACCAAGATGGAAAAATTCTGCCTTGGAAGTGATATATTGTTTGTATTCAGTGGTTTAATTTCCATACCCTCCCCCACCCCAAAATCAGTGTGAGGACAGCGCCCCCTGGTGAGTGAGATGACCAAGGGAGGCACACACACATTGTTAGAATTCTAAGGTTTCAAAGAAATTCTCAGAGCTGCTATGGGAAATGGGCAGTTTTTGCTTTGCTTCAGATTCACTTCCTCTCACTGTGTCTCTCGTACAGTAATAGACTGCCGTGTCTTCAGCTTTGAGGCTGTTCATTTGCAGATAAATCTGGCTTTTGGCATCGTCTCTGGAGATGATGAAGCGTCCCTTCACTTTGTCAGAGTAGTAAATGGGAGATGAGTCTGTACTTATATAGGCCACCCATTCCAGGCCTTTCCCTGGAGCCTGTCTCACCCAGTGCAGGTAGGCACTACTGAAGGTGAATCCAGAACCTTGGCAGGTGAGACGGAGGGACCCTCCAGGGCTTCTCACGTCCCCTCCAGACTCCAACAACAGGACCTCAGATCGGACACCTAAAATGAAAGCAGTTTCAGTGAGCTCTCCTGTACACAAGAACTAAAATGGAAAAAGTTGAATACAGAGGACAGAAATACCTCTGAGGACTGCTAGTAAGGAGACCAAGTTTAGCCACAGGATCATTTTTGCTCTCTCAAATGAATGGAGTGTAATGGATAGGAAAGGATTCTAGTTGATGTACAAACTTTGTGTTGGTGGGTGTTGCCTTCAAAGGGAAACCATGACCTTTAAAGAGGAAATTGTGCCTCAATTTACATATTACTTGGGATAAAAGAGCCCCTCAGGGCATTTGCTTATAGATTTCTTTGGGTAGAGTTTACCCCTGTGATTTTCAAATAATACTCAGATATAAATTTAAGTTCTCGTTTCCAGTTGTTCATTTGCTAATATAATTTGTTTTCACAGATGGTGAAACATCTCTTCCATTTATCCATGTATTAAATAATATAGAAACCTTGATTTATGCCATTTATTGCAGCGCTTTGTCAGGTGCCTCTCTCAGCCATTTCATATAAAAGATGGGGAAGCTAATTGAGAGGCAATCTAGGCCTCCTCATAGGCCCTTCAGACCCCACCAAGGGGACCTCAGACGAGACCCCTGGAAAGAAAGGGGCTTGAGTAAAATCTCCTGTATACAAGAAGAGTAAATGGAAGGAAACTCTATTGCTTTCTATAAAAGGGCCTCTCAGTGCATTGGTCTCATAGCTTTCCTTGCATACATGTTATAAGCATGAAATTCACCTAACTTTAACGTCTTATGAAAACTGAAAAGAGCTTTCTATTTCCTTTCCTTTCCTTTCCTTTCCTTTCCTTTCCTTTCCTTTCCTTTCCTTTCCTTTCCTTTCCTTTCCTTTTCCTTCCTTTCCTTTCCCTTCCCTTCCATTTCCCTCTCCCTTTCACTCTCCCCTCCTCTCCCCTCCCCTTCCCTTAAAGGGCAAACTGTGCCTCAATTTGCATATCACTGGGGATAAAAAAGCCTCTTCATTGTATTATGAGCTCTGGTGGTGCAGTGGTTAGAATAGAGTATTGCAATCTAATTCTGCCGACTGCCAGCAGTTCCATTTGTCCGACATCCAATTCTAGCTTCAGTCATGAAAGAATAATTGCCAATATTTGGCATTAGGGGGTAGAATAGAATAGAATAGAATAGAATAGAATAGAATAGAATAGAATAGAATAGAATAGAATAGAATAGAATAGAGGGATGGGATGGGATGGGATGGGATGGGTTAGGATTAGGATTAGGATTAGGGTTAGGAATAGAATAGAATAGAATAGAATAGAATAGAATAGAATAGAATAGAATAGAATAACAGAGTTGGAAGGGACCATGGAGGTCTTCTAGTCCAGCCCCTTACTCAGGCAGGAAACCCTATAGCATTTCAGTCAAATGGTTGTCCAATTTCTTCTTAAAAACATCCAACTGGTTCAAAGTTAACTTAGTCTTCCATCCTTCTGAGACTGGTTAGTTATGTATTTCTTTGCACGTAAATTTCACCGATAGTTTTATGACTTCTGAAGGCAAGCTGTTCCACTGGTTAATTGTTCCCACTGTAAAGAAATTTCTCTTTAGTTCTAGGTTGCTTCTCTCCCTGCATATTTTCCATCCGTTGTTTCTTGGCATACCTTTAGGTGCTTTGGAAAATAGGTTTACCCCCTCTTCTTTATGGCAGCCCCTCAAATGCTGGGATGCTGCTATCATGTCACCCCAGTCCACACATTTTATGTTGATGGTGTATCCTGAAAAGGAAAACCAACTGCTTCCTTTAAAGTGGAAATTATGCCTTGATTTACATAAGGCTAAAAGTGCCACATCAGTGCTTTTATTTATATAATTCTTTGCACATAGATTTCTCACGTGGATTTCGAACTAGGTTCTGTCCTAGGAACAGTCCGGACCGTCATGTCTTTCATTGTCAGTACACAGGGTAAGGAGATATTTACACTGGAGTAAGTAAAGCAAGAACTAACACAACTCCCTCACTTCAAGAAACAGTTCAATGGGGAAAGAATGAAATCATGTGCTTAAATTTCCATAAGTAGCCATATTAGAGTCCAACCCTGAAAAAAGATGACACACCTGAGTTCAAAGTATTTGTTTCACAATTGTTTCACAAACAACAATGCAGAGCAGGCCAAGAAGAACAATTTGAAACCTATAGTTGAATTATACTGAGCCCTGGTGATGCATTGGTCAGAATGCGGTATTACAGGCTGACTCTGCTGCCTGTCAGCAGTTCGATACTGACTGGCTCAAGGCTGACTCAGCCTTCCATCCTTCTGAGGTCAGTAAAATGAGGACCCAGATTGTTGAGGGCAATATGCTGACTCTGTAAACCACTTAGAGAGTAAAGCATTATGAAGTGGTATATAAGTCTAAGTGCTACTGCTATTGCTATACACACTTGTCCCAATGTCAAAGTTTTCTCAAAATCTCAAATAATTTTCTTTGAGATGTCATATGATTTTTTTTAATGATGTGAAAGGTCCAGAACAGTCAAGTCTAAACCTTTTCTTTTTAAATTTGCATGTACAAATACAACAAGCTTTCTTTAGGTAAAGAAAAATGTTTGTGGTTGAGTATCAGGAAATTATTCTTAAGCAGCAGACAAAGCATGGACTAAGATATTTTTTAACAGAGATGTTAGAGACAGAGCTTAAAAATATAGTAGATTTCAGTTCAGGAACCTTCGTTTTTTTAACAAGGTTTTGTTTTGAAGAAGCTGATATTAACTGCATACACACTAGGGTGTAAAGCACAATTTGTAAGGCACAGTATTCAGCTTCCCACCAAGTTGCAAGGAAATAATTGAAGTAATCATATCATAACGTCATATTTTACACTCAGTCCAAGAATTAATATGACATTTTCTGCTTGGCAAAGATTTCTGATTTCTAGAGTTAGCAAGGCACATTCTGTTCTGAACTCAGACATGGCTTTACGGAGGAAATTGTGATCTCTTGAGAAGTGACATTCCCATGAGACCAATTTGGTGAATTTTCTAAGCATATCAGATGTAAAAGTTCTGCCTTGGAAGTGATAAATTGTTTGTACACAGTGGTTTAATTTCCCTACCCTCCCTAATGCCAACATCAGTGTTAGGATAGTGCGCCCTGGTGGGTAAGATGACTAAGAGAAACATGCACACATTGTTAGAATTCTAAGGATTCAAATAAATTCTCAGAGCTGCTATATGAAATGGGCAGTTTTTGCTTTGCTTCAGATTCACTTCCCCTCACTGTGTCTCTCGCACAGTAATAGACTGCTGTGTCTTCAGCTTTGAGGCTGTTCATTTGCAAATACAGCTGGCTTTTGGCATCGTCCCTGGAGATGGTGAAGCGGCCCTTCACTGTGTCTGAGTAGTAACCGCCAGTTCTAGCAACCCATTCCAGGCCTTTCCCTGGAGCCTGTCTCACCCAGCTCATAGCATAGCTGCTGAAGGTGAATCCAGAGGCTTGGCAGGTGAGACGGAGGGACCCTCCAGGGCTTCTCACGTCCCCTCCAGACTCCACCAACAGGACCTCAGATCGGACACCTAAAATGAAAGGAGTTTTATAGAGCTCTCCTGTACAAAAGAACTAAAAAGGAAAAAAAGCTGAATACAGAGGGCAGAAATACCTCTGAGGACTGCTAGTAAGGACACCAGGTTTAGCCACAGGATCATTTTTGCTCCCTCAAATGAATGGAGGGTAATTGATAGGAAAGGATTCTGGTTGATGCACAAACTTTGTGTTGGTGGGTGTTGCCTGAAAAGGGAAACCATGACCTTTAAAGAGGAAATTGTACCACAATTTACATATTGCTTGGGATAAAAGAGCCCCTCAGGGCACTTGCTTATAGATTTTTTTGGGTAGACTCAGTTTCAAAGCTTCTGGCAAAGGAAGCATGAACTTTCTACTTTCAAGGGGTGCCTGTTATGGGGTAGTAGGGTAGTAATCCCAGCCTCATTGAGGTCTAGAATCTTGCTCTCTCTGCATGAGGGAGATCCTGGTATAGTAAGGATGAAGGTGCTTAAGCGCAGCCATCTATGGTGGCCTGTGCTCGATAAAGCCATTGAGGCTCAGGTGCATGGGTTCCAACTGTGCCAACAGTCATGGCCTGAAATGCCTCAGGCCCCAGTACATAGGTGGGAGGAAACTCAAACCCCATGGTCACGGGTGCATATAGATTATGCTGGCCCATTTCAGGGGCAATTCTTCCTTCTCATCGTTGACAGCTATTCTAAGTGGCTAGAGGTTGTTCCTGTTTCCTCCACTACTACTGCCAGGACCATCCAGGTGTTGAGAGGAATTTTTGCCTCACATAGGCTTCCAGATGTCCTGGTCTCAGATAACGGCCCCCAATTTACTTCTTTTGAGTTCCAGGCTTTCCTTCAGGCCAACTTGATCTGGCATGCGATGTCTGCTCCTTTCCACCCCTCGTCCAACGGTCAAGCAGAGAGAATGGTGCGCTCTACCAAAGATGCTCTCAAGAAACTTACTTACGGTAACTGGCATCACAGGTTAGCTGATTTCCTTCTTGCACATCGCACCACACCTTGCACAGCCACAGGGAAGAGCCCTGCAGAACTCCGCTGGCGTCACCGCCTCATCACCAAACTGGACAGGTTGCACCCAGACCGGGTGGCTTCGCAGGTGTCACAACCGCGGGCACCTAGGATACTTCAAGTGGACAATCTGGTTTGGGCAAGGAACTATGGGCCTGGACATCTCTGGGTCACAGCAGTGGTCTGCAAGGTTTCTGGGCCGTTGTCATACGAAGTTGCCTTGGAAGATGGCCGCGTTCTTCGCAGACACATAGACCAACTGCGTTGGAGACTGGACAGCCACGTTTCCGCTCCTGGCTCTGCTCTGGGGGGGGAGGAGGACCAGAATATGGATTCTGGGTCACAGATTCCGGGGTCTAACAGGGCCTCACAAGCTGAAGAGGCTGTTTGGGGGTCATCACAAGTTTCCGCAAGTGCACCAAGCAGGAATTCCCAGCACATCTGTTATTGCTCCAGACAGGGAGTCACACTGGGGGTATCCACATAAATCAAACACAGCCAGAGAAAGGGAATTCCATCAGGGGCACTCTCATAATTCAGTTATTGCTCCAAACAGGAAGTCAGGAGCAAGGGGGTTTGCCATGGAGGCGGCTCCTGACTCTGGCACCTCGGGCATGTGCACGGGGGCTACGGAGTACTGGGGCACTT